CTGTATGAAAAATGGCCTCCCAAATCCTTCTCACATCTCCGCTGTATAGCAAGAAGGAAGCAGCCTCATCAACCAAGTCAGATAGTTATAAGATTCAGATGGTTACAGCAAAGAGAGTCTGGTCTACGCATCTCTGGAAACTCCTACCCCACCTGCCACAGCAGAAACAGTAAGCCAAGCTCTGCAGTAGTTACAGTCAGAGTGTGAAAGAAGCTGGAGTCAGTAGGGTTATAAGGGTGTCTGCTTCACTCTCTCTCTCTGCCATTTCCATTGTTCTTTAATGTCAACTGACCATCTATTTTTATTATCTCAGCCCACAAAACCCACTATCAAACTGCAGCAATACTGACTGCATCAGGCAGGAGAAAAAGTAAAGCTGACTAGCCCAGTATTTCAACTACTTTACCACAGTCTCCAAACCAGTTTTGCATCCATCAGCTACAACCACCCATATTTCCAACAGGCAAGATCCCAGCCGGTCTCCTGTCTCTGTAACATTAGCTTGCAAGCTCCACATTACAGATGTTTTACTTTCAGGTTTCGAAAGTAAATAAAAAAATTCCCCTGAAGAATTTGCTCCGGTACATTTAATGAGCTGGCTTTAATTACATTTTCTAAACCGGGTAGGGATTTTACCTTCTCATTTTCATCTAGAATGGTAGACTAGAGATCAAAATGAGCTCTGGCAATCATGTTTCCATACAAGGCGATCACATTAAATAAAAGGAAATGCATATGCAATATGTTTTTGATACACTGGCTGAATGAACAAATGTGTTGATAAATAAATCAGCCTGCCTTCTCAGCCCACTTCTTTTTATAAAGGAAATGACCCTGCTAGAGTTGATGCCCACTTCTTTTACCTCACTGCTATTTTTAGCAGAGGCTGTGAAAAATTTCCATTGAAGATCTGCTCCTCTCATTTCCTGGGTAGAGAAAACAGGAAGCCCTTTAAGCCGAGTCTAAGTAGGTTTTGCATGAAAGTAGACCGACCTCACCTCCCACTGGCTGCCTGCTGACACTGCAGAACGTCAGAACAGCAGATGTGCAGTGATAAACTCGCAGACGCTAACATCAGAGGGGCAGAGAGGAGGTTAGGGATGAGGACAATCCCTTTTCACAGTATAACAACCAACACCAACTTCTTGCTGGCGCACACGTTTTTTTAAACAGGCATCTCTACTAGTCAAATTGAGGTCATGAAGCCATATCCTACTTGGAATTAGAATGAAAGGCTCAATTCTGAGCCATGTCGCCAGCGGGATTTCTCTACCCCAGTGGTTTTCAGCCTGTGGCCCATGGACTCCCGGACATCTCCAGACTATGTCTAAGGGGATCGCAAAAGATGACCATGATTAATCAAAAGCGTGTCAAAACCCACACCTATAATTCAAAGGGGGCTGCATCTCCATTTGAAATTTCCAAAGGGGTCTGCACCTCCATTCAACATTTTTTAGGAGTCCGCAAATGAGAAAAGGTTGAAAAGCAGTGCTCTACACATACAAGCTGAGCCTATCTCCTTACTCAGGGAGCATGTAGGAGCCCAGAATGCACTGAAAACAGCATGGTTCTGCCATCTTACAGTGCAGGTAAATGTTCGGGGCCCACACAAAGGAGTCCACTTCTGTGCAGTATTAAGTTGGAGCTCTATGGGTATGTCTACATGTGCAATTAAGGCGCAGCAATAAACTCTGTCATTTATCACACAAGCATTTATTGCTCCCAAGCACACCATTTGAACATGCTCCCAGGACTGCAGCATGTTGAACTGCGTCAGAGCAGCCCTGGCCGGCAGGGGTCCCCAGGGCTCAGCCTGCCGGCCCAGGGCCGCTCCTACCTAGCTCATTGTGCTGCAGAGGGGCTGGCTGGGGCATGAGGGTGCTTCAGGATGGGGCTAGCAGGCAGCATGCATTGAAGCACCCTTGTGCCCCAGTCAGCCAGGTCAGTGTCTACACGTCCAGTGCTGCACCGTAAAAAACTCCGCAGCAGCGCTGAATTTGTATTTACAAGTACTACCCTGCTGTGGAGTTTATTAGTTTACTGCAACCACATAGGGCCACGTGTAAATGCCAGGACTTTTACTGTGAAGCTAATTAGGCAGCTCTGCAGTAAATGTCTCATGTAGATGCACCCAGTAGATCCTAATGGACTGGAGCATTTGGGAAGCAAGATCCAGTAGAGCTACTAGCTATTTTTTCCCCTATGTAGGGCTTGGTGCAACATTTGTGGGACATATTTGCAGCCTTAACTATGCTAAGGAGATACCCTTCTCTTCTGGTTCCCACAGAGACCATCTTTGCCCCCTTCTCCCTCCTCTGAGACTTAGTACAAGCTATAGATTTTGGCTCTGAGCAAGTAGAATATATATCATAGACAGGGTGCCTTGCAAATGGAGTATGGCACAGTCTGTATTTGCTCTTGACTGAGTTGTATTGCATATAAGGGAGAGGAATTTCAGCCATATACTGGTAACCATTAAAATCTACATTTACTTGCTTTCCCCAAGTACACTGGGGATAAGACAGCCATTTTTTAAGCTACAGAGAAATGCTGTCAGGCAAAGGAAAAGCCTATACGTATTAGTTTACATATACTCATGTATTATATGTTTGAAATCAAACTAAGTGATGTGGATTCTTCCTGCTTAAAGAACCATGTTCATTATCTTTGAGTAGATTATTTTCTGATTTGAATCTGACCTTTTCAGTCTTCTTTCAGATATCAGAGGAGAAAGTGTTTTCGGTTCTGTTAGCACAGTGGTCCCCAACTACTAGTTTGTACATAGCACATTTCCCACAAGACACCTCCCACATTGCTAATACCACAGGACATTTAAAAGCTCACCATATTAACAACCTCCATTTTAGCATGATGTTGCCTGCAGGTTTCTCAGTATTGTTGCCCACAGGCCAGCCAAATTTACTGCTTCCCTTTCATGTGAGCCTGCTCTTGGCCTGACAGTCATCAACACAATCATTGCCCACAAAAGTCAGTGAGAGTAGTCCTGTCCTCCCTTATCAGAGGGCAGAAACGTACTTTTTCTAAGAAGTCTAGTAAGTGAGACATTACTTCACGTAGAGCATACACTGGGGATATCAGAAACCACCACCCTTCTGGAACTGCAGAAACACATTCCTCTAATGGTTAAATTTCCCTAACCATCAAAAATTTAGATCCTTTCAACAGGACACTACAGTTCTGTGAAACACAAGTGAGCTTGTTCCGTTGAAGGCAAAGGTGCTTTGTTCTTTGAAATAGCCTTTGCTCTTAACAAGTTCATGTCTTGTTGAATTTTATCTGGGGTGCACAGAATTTTTATGCTATAAGGTTCTTTCTTTGCTTAATCAAAAAGTCTTCAGTTTATTTCCCTCTCTCTTTTTAGCCGTGATTCAGGAAAGTGCCTCCTTTTTAAGACAGGACATGTTAGCAAGTGCATGTGAGCGTGCTTTCTCCCTCTCTATGGTTTTGAGTCAGAGGAGGCATGGTGTTAACACAGTTAATAATTTTTAAGTGGAAGTCCAAAGTTAGCATGACAGAAAAGATGCTCGTGATTGCAACTGTGAGTAGAGATTGGTATGTTTGTATTTGAAGGCAGAGCCAAATTAAATGTTCTCCACCGCTTTCGGGATGAGGAGAAAACTTAGATATTGTGTCCTCAAATGGTCCAGCTATCACGTTCTTTTGCTAGCTGCACACACCAATTAGTCAAGTATTTATTATTGTATTTATTTAATTTGTAGAAGCACTTGAAGCAATTTTACTCAAAACTTGGGCTTCCACACTGAAGGAAAAAGTCTTTCATGTGTTTGAACAGGCCCAGTTATCTTTGTTATTCTACACACTGTTTCCAAGAGCAGTCACCATAATTGTGTGTGCAGACAGAAGCCCCGGATAGCTAATCCCAGCAATAATGCACACAAACAATTATTGTAATTGTAGATACAAATTAGATAAGGCCAAAGGAGAGAATTGCCCACTTGGAAGTGCAAGCCCAGAATATTGACCAGACAGTGTTTTACATATAAAAAATCTGAAATGGCTTTTGGACTTGCCTGTCTTGTACAAGAGTTAAGTGAAGTTAGAGAACTCCTGGTGTGTAGAGTAGCACATGCTGCATGCTGTGTGGGATTTTACATTGAAAGAAAGGAAGGGAGTACACAACAGCATTTTGTTCATCTTCAGTATTAATCGTTAGAACATAGGTTCAGGAAGTGAGAGCAAAAAAACATACATGATGGAACAAACATAGTCACAAGAATGAAAATGCTTGTACACAACTGCCCCTCCTCGCACATTTAAGGCAAGCATGTGTCAGGTTCAGCACGTGGAAAGATATAGTTCTCAGTACGTAGCGTTTCTCTTCTCTGCCTCTCCTGTCTTCACCCTAATTTGAATGCCAACATGCTCAGATAGGATGGGACTTTTCCTCTTAATGTAAAAGAACATCTATGACATGAAGAGGAAATATGCTATTTATGAGGCATCAGGTGTGTTTTCAGGACACAAAAATGTCATGACTTTTCCAAAATACCTGAAGCATGCTGGACACAAAAAAAGGGGAAAGCAGAGAGGCATAGCCCATAACCCTTATCCAAAAAAGTGTTACCCCTCCAGTCAGTCAAGGCTCAATTTGGTGACTTTTTTTATGGGACATAGTCCTAGGGTCACAAGCATAACATCCATTGCCTAGAATTTAGTAAGTGTTTGTTGGGCTTTAATTGTAAATGTGACACTGAAAGGCTTGGAGGGGAATTACTAGTGCGGGGCAGGAGTGAAGAACAGAAATGAGAGGAAATAAGATCGGTCACTCCCTTTAAGCAGGAACACCTGAAAGATCCGTTCAAAGTTTTATTTTTAATTATATTAATGTTATCATGACAAAAGCTGTGGGGGGTGTTTTGGACTCTATATAACAAAATGTGCATGGATTGCTTTGGATGCTTAACACTTGCAAAATGCTCTAACATCTTTTTCCTCTCTCTCTCTCTCTCATTTCACAGTTAATGAAATTATCAGGAAGGAGTTTTCTGGACTCCCTGCCAGAAATCAAACATAGAAGAAGAAATTTGTGAGACAACTTTTACTGAATCCTTCCATAACTGACCTCTTAGATCCTTCCACCGCCCCTACAACCTCCTGCTTCCTTAACTGTTCATCTCAAGGCACCGATTCAATGCAAGGAACAATGTACTGGCATCAAGCTGACAGCCTTGACTAAGCAACTCACCACCTCTCTCTGTAAACATCAAAAAGGACACCCTTCCTTTAATCCAAAGATCATTGTTCTCATATACCAAAGCATGTGTCTAAGGAAACTCTTCGTGCCTGTTGCAGAAAAACACACACACACACACACGCACGCACGTGCTTGCGTGTGTGTGTTTCCTAGTAATAAGGGAGTAGAAAGTTGTCACTCCAGAGCTCTGTAAAGCCATTGGGTTTGTATATTTGTGCTTATTTAGATAATATGGAAAATGGGGGAAGAGAGCTCCCATGCATTTTATATAAGAATAACACCACTTGCCTTAAAGTAACAGTACATTTTCTCCCAGGTCGTAAGCCCGTTAAAAAGGTGGATTAGCCATTCTTAATCCAAATTTTATTGCTGGGGGGAAACCAAGTCATAGGGAGGCTAAGTTACTTGCCAAAGATTGCACAGGTCGCTGACTAACGTGAGAACAGAACCAGTTTTTTCTGACTCTGAGCCCTGTGCTCAGAACACCAAACAGTAGGTGCCCAGTGAATCCAGGGCCTTTCATTTTTCTCATCCGAGCTGTTATGCCTTTGTAGAAGAGGGATGCTTGAAAAGAACTAACAAAGAGGTCAACTTAATATTTCCAAGCAACAGCCCAAGTTAAATGAAGCCTAGAAAATGAAGATGCATCTGGTAGTGTTAGAGAAATCTATTCTAAACAGAATGATGCCCATCCCAAGAATTTGTGGTTGGCCCAAGCGAATGTTCAGCTAATGCATATACAGCTCCTTAGATTTTTTGATAATGAAATCTGCTGTTTATTTTAAGATAGAGCTTACCTTCAATTCCTAACTGTTCTCGTTTAGCAGCCAGAATATTTAACCACACAAGCTTCAGGGGAAAGTAGTTACATCCAAAAGAAACCACAGTTTTTCAAAGCCAGTGGCAATTTCTAGAGGCGTTATTTCATTGTCAGCTTACTAAGGTAGCTATACATTGCTTGTGATGCCAACACATAGCTTTGAATGTGCTGTACTGATGAATACTTATCACTATAAAGAGACTATCTAACATCACTGACATCAACAATTAGTCACCTAGTAAGCTTTCTGAGTTTTATGCTGTCATTTTTAACACATCATTGCTATGTTGGCCTGACAACATGCATGGCATGCACTGATCATAAATATATAGTGAGGGCTAAGCATGATAGTTAGTCCATCAAATAATAATCTTTTGTACAGAAATCAATAGCCTTTAGAAGCTCCTAGGAAA